GCGATGTGCTGCGGGAGGGTCAGGAGGTCAAACCAGCGGCTGAGGCAAGAGGCAGAGACCGCCGCGGTCGTGCTTACGCTATAAGATAGAAAGAGAGATCTGAATTGGCGCCCCAAACTAGATATACCTGGTGTTCATAGGAAAAGTGTAGCAGTGATGGTGTGTGCATGGGCTGGTGAGTCGCGCCGGTACTCGGAGGCTGAGGCAGAGGGGATTGCGTTGGAGCCCAGAATGGTTGAGGGGTTGGCTGTAGCTAGGGTTGGAGCGCACGGAGGGCGCCAGCTCACCCCTAGCGCTGGCGAGCAGACAGAGGCTAGGAGACTCGTGTCGGGCAAAGAAAAAAGTGAATGCTCGCAGCACTGCCCTCTCGACTCTGTGAAGCAATGCCAAGTGTGTCGCGGCGCGGACCTGGCTGGGTGGCACTGATCATGCGTCCACGCCGTCACCATGCAAGCCCTGATAGCTGAGCGGCCAGGGTCTCTTGCTTTCAAAACCAGGGCTCCTAACTAAAGGCTGCTTCGCTGTGGTTCTTCTGATGTTCCTAGTCGGGCTGAAGCAGGAATCTTTGCATTTATGTTCACTGAGCCACCCTGTTTGTTGATGTTTTTTTTCTCAGCAAACGGCGAATTCGTCTTGGGATTCTCGAGTAAACTTAGAAGGCCGTTACCCCACCGGTTTGTTCAAAGGTAAGATAAGCGACACGCCACCGCAGATCTCGCCCAGGGACCCACCGAGCCACCTACTTACTCCCCACATGCCGCCTGGTGCCACCAGGCAAGGAAATGACGACTAACCGCCAGGTGCATTATTTATACTGCTAGGACACAGCGGCGGGAGCCGCTGTCGAGCTTGTGTGATCTGTGCAGTGGTATGTGCAGTGTGGCCCTCACTGCGCCCGGCCCCGCGCTCGGCCCGAACAGGGAACGCTGCTCGCTCACTCCGTGCACCGTTCTTTCACCGCTGGAAACGCCCCTGACCCCGTCAGGTGGGGAGCCGGATTTGAGGCAGTCCCCCCACCGCCCTGTTGATGTCCTCCGCAATAAATCTCCCTTCTTCCTTGACAGTCCTCATCGTCTCAATAATTGGCCTTTCTGGGTAGCAAGAAACTGTGTGCAGGGAAACTGCCTTCGCGGGTTCGTTAACACTCTACCATGGAAAAACCCGCTTTGGATAGAGGAAGGAGGGGAGGTGGTTTTAATGATGTATTTGATAGAGGAAAAAAAGGCATAATGAAACCGCTTGTGAACATTACCTTCTTTTCTTTCTTTTTTTTTTTTTTTTTTGAGAAGTATTCACTTTGTTGTCCGGCTAGAGTAGTGCCATGGGCGACAGTCCAGCTCACAGACAGCCTTCAAAACTCCTGGGCTCAAGCGATCCTCCTGCCTCAGCCTCCCGGAGCTGACTACAGGCGATGCGCCACCATGCCCGGCTAATTGATTTATTTAATTATCATTGGCTAATTAACTTCCTTTCTATTTTATAGTAGAGACGGCGGGTCTCCTGCTTGCTCAGGCTGGTTTTTGAACTCCTGACTTGAGCAATCGCCCGGCCTCGGCCTCCAAGAGGCTAGGATTACAGGCGAGAGCCACAGCGCCCGGCCCTCCGCATTTCTTTATCTTTTCCTTTTTCCCTTCCTTTCCTTTCTTCTTGCTTCCTTCTTCTCTTTCCTTCCTTCCTCTTCTCTTCCTTCCTCTCTTCTTCTTCCTTCCTCCGTCCTTCTTCCTTCGTGTTTCTTTCTTTTTTTGGGGCAGGTATGCCCTGGGTAGAGTGCAGTGGCATCATCGCGCCAGCTCACCATAACCTCAAACTCCTGGCCTCAGTGGATCCTCCTGGCCTCGACCCCCAAATGGGCTAGTTATTTGCAGGGTGTGAGGCCACCACGCCCAGCAAGTAATTTTTATGAAATCTAAATATGGACCAAGTCCAGTGAAAATTTAAGATTTGAAATGAGATGTGCTGTAAATGTAAGATACACACGACCTGGAAACTTCCGGGTGGGGGGGGACAAAACATGTAAAATACCTAATTAATCATGTTTCATATTGATCAGATGATGAAATGATAAGATATTTGAGTTATGATTGGGGAAATCTAAATTTTCATTAAAATTAATTTCACTTTTTTTCACTTTTAAAATCCTAACATTTCAAATCATGTATGTGCTCACATCACGTTTTTTGATTTTGGGGTTTTTTTTGAGACAGAGTCTCACTCTGTTGCCCAGGCTCAGAGTGAGTGCCGTGTGTTCGAGCCTAGCTCACTGAGAACCTCCAAAGGCTCCGTGTGCCCCAGCGCGTATCCTGCCTCAGCCTCCCAAGTTAGCTGGACTATAGGTAATTTTTCGTAATACATTAGTTGGCAATTAATTTCTTTCACGTTTATAGTAGAGACACAGGTGCTTATCTTGCTCAGGCTGGTCTCAAACTCCTGACCTTAGAAATAATCTCGTCCGCCTCGGCCTCCCAGAGTGCGTAGGGATTTACAGCGTAGACCACCGGACCGCAATCAGTTTTTTATTGGACAGAGCTGCTTAGAGCTTCCCAAACCATATTCGTCATTTTATGTGATGCTGCCAGACTCCTCAGGGCGGCAGGCAGGTAGGGAAGGTACATCTCACAGGTGGGGAACTGAGACCCAGACCCAGGACAGGTGCCGTCTAGAAACACGCAGATAGGTCGTACAGCAGCAAGGAGGTCAAGAGCAATGACTTTTGTCGGTGCCCTTGAAAAAAAATGGCCAGAAATATTTGAGCCCTCGTTGACCATGTTGCCCTGCACCCAAAAGACCATACCCCAGTTTCTTCCCTGCTGACACTCCTGCTTCTGCTCAGGCAGGGGGGGTGGCCCCGAGATTCCAGTGAAGGGCAAACGCTGCCCCTTCACAAGCCCCGGAGCATGGATTACGGTTTTGCTAACCCAGTCATAAGTAACCCCTCTCCCCTGTGCGGGCAACGGGCATGTGCCCCGGTCCTGCCCAATGGGCCCGTCCGTGGGTGTGACTGCTAAGGGGAGGAAGCTCATTAAAAGGATTTTATCGTGGATTAAGTGACAGAGACTCTTGAGTCTCTTGAGGAAGAAAGCCTGCAGCCTCCCTTCTTGTCCTTGGTTGTGGCTCAGTTGCGTGCGTGGCTTTGGTAGCCACCCTTCAGCCGTGCGGGGATGAGGGTTAGGACGAAATGCTGCCTCACACAGGTTGTTCGAATTGAAACACAGGAAGAAGTTGGCTTTGATGGCGTCATTCCTCCCCCACCAACTCTGCACCCACTCACCCCCAGACTCCTTGTTAAAGGCAAACGTTAAGTAAATATCCTTTTTGCTTGACCTTGGTTGGACCGTCTGTTCCATGTAGCCTTATACATTGGGCACATGGCTTGTGGCTCACCTTTTCTTGGCGTGCCAGGAGAGACTTCCAGAAGGCACGCTGACTGGCTCCCAAGGGAGGATGGGCCACCAGGTGGAGTATCTGGAAGAGAAATTTTGGAAGATCAGCCAACACATATCCGGCTAGTACTCAATAATATTAGTGACTCTTACATCAAAACGCCTACGGAACTCCCGCCCCCCAACACCTCAGAACATGCAGCAGCCCCTGCACATGCCACGTGCTGAAACACTGAGTTCATCTCTCGTTTCTTGTAACCAGCTCTCCTTCCTGGGCCCCCATCATGGTGGTTGTCACCTTCATCCATCCTGTTAGTTCCCTCAGCCAGGACGTTCTGAGTCAGCCTGGCTTCTCTCCTACCCCCTCAGCCCTTGGCTATGTCTTACCCGTCACTCATTCACTCAACAAATGCACATACATTGGGCACCAGTGTTACCCAGTGATGGACACAGCAATAAACAAGAATGAGGTCTCACTCCCTGGATTTTTTTTTTTTTTGAGACAGAGTCTCGCTTTGTTGCCCAGGCTAGAGTGAGTGCCATGGCGTCAGCCTAGCTCACAGCAACCTCAGACTCCTGGGCTCAAGCAATCCTCCTGCCTCAGCCTCCCAAGTAGCTGGGACTACAGGCATGCACCACCATGCTCGGCTGATTTTTTCTATATATATTAGTTGGCCAATTAATTTCTTTCTATTTATAGTAGAGACGGGGTCTCGCTCTTGCTCAGGCTGGTTTCGAACTCCTGACCTCAAGCAGAGCAATCCTCCCGCCTCGGCCTCCCAGAGTGCTAGGATTACAGGCGTGAGCCACCAAGCCCGGCCTTAATGTGTTTTCTGATTATACAAATTATATAGTTTTATTTTTAGGTTAGAAAAATACAGACAACTATAATGCAATAAAATATCAATGCTAACGAACTTTACTAAGGTGTATAATTTATTTAACAAATATGTCTTGAACCCTTACTCAGTTTTAACGCCTGGGCTAAGTGATGGGATTATAAAGGTGAAGCATATGAAACAATCTCTGTCCTCGCTCACTGAGCTAGTCTAGGGTAGAATGCAGACAGAAAGCACACAGACAAACACAGTGCAGCGCGATGGAGCTGTACTGGGAAACACAGGAAAGGGCTATCAAGGAAGACTTTTCTAGAAAAAGAAGCACCTACACTGAGACCATTAAGAATGAGGAGGAATCAGTCAAATCAATGTGGAAGAAGGAGAAAGGGAAGATTATTCCAGGTGGAGAAAAACAAGTTCCAGGCTTGAGAAGTAAAAGGAAGGAAGGAAGGAAGATTATTCCAGGTGGAGAAAAACAAGTTCCAGGCTTGAGAAGTAAAAGGCAGCTAGGTGTGGCAGAAAAACTGACAGAAGTCTGGGCCGCGAGAGCAGGAAATTGGGTCGAGAATGACTCAAGATACAGGCAGCAGAAATCCTCTGAGTTGGTTAAAGCTCGGTGTCACCAAATCTGCTTTTCGTAAAGGTCACTTTGAGGGCTCGGTGGAGGGTGGTCGGGAGGGAAGCGAGAGGGCCGGCGGCGGGCCCCCCAGACTGGCATGTGCCACCCGGCTAGACCTGGAAGGGACCGGGGCGGGGCGGGAAGGTACAGCGGATGGGCGACCTGCAGAGACGCCGTGCTTGAGGAGGCCCCTGGCAATGAGGCGGGCGACCCGGGTGAGGCCATCAGCGATGACCGCCGGGTTCCCAGTGGCTGGGGGGGGAAGGAAAGCTGACACAGGAATACCAATATTTAAGAGATAAGAAAACGAACAGGTGGGCCGGGACCAAAATTCTCTCCCAGCTTTTTTTTCTTTTTTTTTTTTTTTTTGAGACAGCGAGTCCTCACTCTGTTGACC